CTTCGTCAGTCTGAGGCCTAGCCATCTGGTATTACCCAGAAGCCACCCTGACTCTTGTGTTTCAAGCCTGCCTCAGATACCCCTGAAGTCTGGCCTTTTCACTAATGGTTTCAAAAACACAAAAATTCTCAGCTTCTTTTTGCAGAGAAAAACAACTTTTTACACAAAGGCACGGGTTTCAACTGTGAATTTTGGAGCTCGAAAAGACAGGTTTATTCCCGAGGCTGGCCTGTTAGCTTAGCTCGTAGCTTAGCTTCTCAGCTTAGCTGCTTTTAACGATCCAAAAACGCAATTTTGGACGGTTAAAACATATTTTAAAGAGAAAAGAGGAAGGGAGGGATCAGTGAAGAGCACCAAAGTTGAGCTGTGTCTTCACTAGAAAGAGAGACACGAAGAACAATAAAGTCGATAAATCAAAATGAGGGTGATAATTTTCATTCATCATGCGATTAATTGATTTATTGTTTATTGCAACAGGCCTACTGTACACTTTGTATGTTGTGCCAGATTACCTATTATGTCTAATATATTGTCTCTCCACCTGATACTGGTGTCTATGATCCAAGCAATGGGAGATAGGTAGATGGAAAGCTATATTAGTCTTTATTTATGGGTTATGTGGGAATTAATATGGGGAATATAATGGGACAGACTAAACATGTTTTACTAAGACCTTTATATGAGGAATAAACACTTTAAGACCCCCACTGCTTGTTATAAAAAAACACAACCATAGTGCACACTCATGCACATAGCACAATGCATCACTGCCAAGATTTTATTACAATCAAATCTTCAATTTGCAATACACCCCTGAGGTCTACACCTCCTACTGATGAAATGAAACAGAAGACAATGAGACTGCTTCAGTCACAAATGCAGTTAGTTTAATGTTACCCAATAATGCATCTTCAACCTCAGATTCCCCCGCCCAGTTTTCAATTAATGCTTACTGAGACGCACAAAAAAAAATAAAAAAAATAAAATGAAAACAAAAACAAGTAGCATTTAGGAAGCTCATCAATCACGGTTTAAGACAAAAACAAGAGAAGAGGAGGGTGGAGTTGAAATGACTTTGCCAAGCTTTGTCCTTCATCCATTATAAAAGGATGAATAGAGGGTCTCTGCAGTCTACAGGAGGACGGAAAGACTATTTTGTGCCAACAAAATAAACCATAGCAGGCGTAAAACAGGGTTATAAATTTATCAGACATATTTATTCAAAATTATCTACTCGGATGAAAACATGGGATAATTATTTGTGTTTCCTGTTCATTTTCATGAACCACACAAACCCACATGCAAGAAAGACCAATTTCACATTATGATGTGTGTAAAAAATGTCTTGTATATTAGAGTGCATCTGTGTTTGTGAGTAAAAATGCTAACACACTACAGCAAACACCTGTCTTACCTGAATAAGTGATTCGCTAAGTCTTTCCTCGTCTACCTGCAGCACAATGTCACGGATTTCTTCATAAGGCAGGCGGAACGAGCCCAGGAAAATTGCTGTTGTGATGTAGAGAGAAGAGAGTCATTTCCTGTCTTTTTTTATTAGACAGCAAGTTTCAACAATATATTAGACACTCATCACTTCTCAGACAAAATGATCACAAACCTTGCTTTATACTTGGGGAAAATTAAAAAAAAAGTGTCACCCTGACAAAAACAAAATTGTTTCTGAATTGTATTTTGTTTTTAAATAGCCAATCTGAAGTCATAAAACTCTGAAAGTGGGGATATTATGAAATATAAATATCTAGAGCCGAACTAGGCATGAGTTATCTGAAAAAGCAACATGTTTTTGTTTGGGTGTATACCAAGAGGCATGCTGAATTTGCCTCGGGGGGAAGCCTAGTGGGTGTTTCACACTCCAGGTGGGGTGGCTGCATTGGAAATTGGAGCTGATGGTGTATCCAGGTGGAAGTCACAGGTGGAGCTTTGGTAATGAGTTGGAGGAGAGTCACCCAACAGCTGCCATACAACTGCAGCAGTGATATGTGTGTATTTGACATGTGAGGTGCAGCTTGTTTTTATGGTTCGGCATCATCAATTTCAGTTCACAACACCAACTACTTAATGTGTTTTCTAACTTTTTGTTTTAGGTTTTGAATAAAAAATAAATAAATAGATAAATAAATAAATAAATAAATAAATAAATAAAAACACTGAATGTGAACCTTGTTTTTTTTATTTTTTTTTATGTGTCATGTTGTGCTCGGCCAGTGTTCTGTCATCAACCTGGACGTGTTTGGTGTCCTCTGATTAAAACCGATCTCAACAGTGATAGATTGGATGAAATGGTACAGGGGTAAGATATTTATTTTGGATTTTGTGATCCAATTCAATTTGTTTTTTTTACCCTTTAGCAAAACACGAACCTGCACAGTCCTCAGGCTCGGTCACTGAGCTTTGTAATAAAGTTATGAAAGATAAAAAGAAGGGAATAATATTAAAGTAAAAGTGTGGCCACATGTTAGTCAACACAAAAACTGCATTATGTTGTTGTTTTGCTTCTTTTATCAGTTACTTAGAAATATATCACTGTTTTATTTGTAAAGTGCTGCTGTTCAAAATGTCATGAGACACAACAATTATTCACAGGTACAGTTTATTCAGATTTGATGAACATGTTTTGAATAAATTTGTTTTGAAAACAAATTTGATAAAACGACTGATCGAAAATAATGAAGGACGAGTTTGGACATTTTGTGAAAATGGGTTCAGTGCAGGCTTTTGTAAAGAGTATTTTCTGAAGCATCGTCTCAAATAAATTTTAGTTTTATTAAAAAAACTGGAAACAAACAGAATAAAAAAAATAAAAAAATCTAATAACATTCTTCATGATGTTTACCTGAGTAAAACTGCTCTGGACGTTAGTTTTCAAAACAACAGCTTGTTCAAGTTTAGCTTTAGCACATTTAATTAACAGAACACAAACAAAACTATTGAAGCAGTGTTTGTAGTATACTCATTTAACCTGTATTTTTCTGAACTTTTAACAACTAAACCATAACATTCAAGAGCAATAATACAAACAAAACAAACAAACAAACAAAAAAAAAAAGCATATATTCTTACGATATCTGTCTTGGTTAAAGCAGTAAAACTAGTTTGCGATATTTAGAGCTGAGCCACAAGTCAACTACTGGTACACAACCGCAGCTTGCAGAGTGGAGGCTTTTAGAGACAGATCGTCACAATTTACCTGATAGTGGTATGCATAATCATTTTAGCATGATGCATCAAGTCACGCTGACATGACAATTACTCATTTTATCCCACTACGGATTCCAGTCACTGAACCTCCGTATCAGAATTGAAAAAAGAAGCTTGGTGGATTCAGCTGCAGGCAGTGCAGAAGATTTATGATGCAGTGGTGTGTGCGTCAAGGCAGCTCAGGAGAACTGTGTGGCTGTGTACAACAACATGCCTCCCACCCAGTTCATTTGTGAAGGTGAGGTTTTCAACACTTTTTTTTTTTTTTTTTTTTTTTTTTTTTGCCAAATTCAGAACTTATCTCCTTGTGTTTTTAATCAGGCATGGCAGTGACACCTATCAGGATTGTCTAACCAATACAAACATGCAGTAATATAATTTGTAACTGGGCACAAGAAGCACAAACAGACCCAACGACAAGCACATGTCTGTGTGTGTCATCCTTATGTTCATGCCACATGCTCTTTTCAAAACCATAAACATATCTAGAGGAAACAAACGTAGAAATGTGG